AAATGTTGCCAATCTTCAAGGCTTCCAGGCATGACCGCTGCCATTTTCAGTTTAGAGGAGCTCTATTTACCACTTGCATTTAACCTTCAGCTTTTCACTCTTACTTGAGCTGTTCCGTTTGCTACTACAGTAGACCTTTCAGATCGCCATTGCCGATGTTAGTACCTCAGAATTCCATACTGTTATGGAAGGATCCTGTTGATCCGCGCACTAATGAAAGGTAAGAAATTCAGTTTTTCTTATCGTATCTTTTATTTTCGTTCAAACGTAAGCTGCATCAGCTGTGGTAGTGGCGAAAGATCATGACAATAAGGGACAAGTTGGAGATCCTTGGTTCTCATTTTTACACCACAGGATGTGATTGTATTTTTGACGGCATCAGGCACGGCGGAACATGTTTAGTAGACAGTCTTAACCTTCCTTATTTGACTACCGTTGGACGCAAACTCGTTATTTTTTTTTGAAATTGACCAATATTTGTCAACCCTTGCTTAGCATCATGAAACGCGACTATTATGTTGAAATTTTCTTCCTACGTGTGACCTACGAATAGCTTTCGTACTGTTATAGCCTTGACGTTGTTTCTAGCCATTTGTTTTAGATCGAACTTCCTATCTTTATTGTTCGATTATCACTACAATGAGAATTCATTATTAGTTGCGTTGAGGCGACCGCTTTCAGAACCGTTTTGCGAAACTGCCAAGAAGGTTAGTTTTTGGTATTAGTGTTATCGTGCAGTAAATGGCCATAATTTTGCAATGGCGGATTATCCACTGCCAAGCTTCTCTCACACAGGATGTGCTTGAAGGATCCTACGATAAAGTCGTAGGTCGGAGTAGGGGAAATACACTGCGCTTCAATATAAGTACATCCTGAATTTTTGCTATTTCAAATATGCCGTGCATTTTTGAGAAATACTGCGGCCACCAATCAATTTTTAATGCAGAAAAACCTTGGTAATCATTTTCTAAACAGATTTCGACCTTGAATAACCAAAATATCTTCTTCGGAATAAATTTTCACCTTCACGAAAATACGCCTGCAATGTTCACAACATGTTGTGCAATGCACCACATGTTGAGAAATTTTGTCATAAAGTACCACTCCAATTTCTCAACAATGGTGTGAAAATCCATCAAGCACAGGGACCTTATAAATAGTCTCAGAATGATGCAACCAAGCTAGCTATCACATTAGGATCCAATTGTCCGAGTTTCGATAATGGGCTGTTTGAACCATTCGATTGCTTCATTTTGCTTCGCCTCGTCGTAGATATCCTTCACATTGGAGACCTAAGATTCTATATCAGATTCTAATCACAAGATGCGAGTATCTTGAGAGCTGCAGTATTTTTTCATGCAATCCAATCTAATGTAGAAGAAGGGCGTGGATCGCTGCGTTGTCGTGCATAGAAATCATGGAGCGAGGGTTGTTTCGTTGTTAAGAATGGTAAAAGTCGCCCACGAAAACTCTGCAGTTTTTGGCGGAATCTATATGACAGGAAACAAAAGCAGTTCCAGCTGTTCAGTCGATCAAAAGAGCTCCGAACTGTAAGGGATTCTAATCCGAATTACGTCCCTTCAAAACCGAGGGATTTGCGCAGAATTCTCTAGTACCCTTTTCTTCCATCAGGTCCACCTAGATTAAACTTTCTCATGTCGCTCCAGTTTGTCTGGAACATGGCACAAGGAGATAGAGTCAACGATCGAAAAGTGTAATAATAGCCATCTTTGTCCAATCAGTTGAGGCGTTTCCCACTAAAAATTAAAAACTGCGTTTTTGTGGCGCTCTGATAAGCATGTGCGTCATAGGTTCTCTGCTGATGTTTTCGCTCTACTGAATTGCTCTCTGAACGGTAATTCTGCTAAAGAAAAACTCCACTTCAGCACGGGCGTTTTCAGGCTTCTCGTAGAATTCGACAGAAAACGCCCTCTTTCATCTTGATTGGAAAGCAGCCTGAAAAGCTTGTAGGACTTTCTGTTTTTCGTGCTGATGGCATCTCGCACGGAGTGCTTTTGTAGTATAAACTGACCGATTTGGACGGCAATTCTGCTCCTGGACCATGCGGCTTCAATAATTGCTTTGGCCAGGCTTGTAGTCAATGAGAGGGGCAGGTAGCATGAGGCATGGTGGAAATTGGACGTGAAATTCGCTCCGAAAATGATGATTAAGTTAGGTGAGGTAGAAATTTCTTTAGAAAAACATTCACCATAACTGGATCTCGAGTAGGCTTGCTTATATCCCCGCATCCCAATTTCCCTCCACGGATGATGAGAAATGAGATTTCATGAGTGGCCCCGTTGATGCAACGTTGGAGAATCTCTGCATACATACTTGGTGTAGGTAAGGTAAGAAATTTCTCGTGCAGAAAAATACATTAACCAAGGTTTCAGCCCAGAATTTTAGACTTGAGAGAAGCTTTCGATGCTCAGGCGATGCCGAGACGCGCTACCTCTTGCTCATCCGGCTAATGTCCTCCAGATACCTACCCGGAGCACATTTTCATTCCTACTCTCAGCTTTCATGCTATAGCTTACGCATAAGCATGTCAGTCACGTCACCACGTAATAGCGTGTGGGCCCGGCTTAGCTACATATCGGCAATGATCCTCGGTCATTAGATCTGATAATCCGATAAGGGCTGAAAGCTTTATTAAAATTAATTTGACTTGCTTTGAGTTCAGTACTCGAGCTAGTTTTTTGGCCGCAGGTTCTCCTATAGCGTATAAACGGTGCGATCTCGTCAATCCGGATGGCTGGCGGGTTCGAATTCCGTCCGGGGCGAAAATTTTGTTTACAATTCAGCATTCTTGTGGAACTCTTTCGTGAGACTGGCAACCAGGGTCAACCCTACGTTGTTACTAGTAACAACGGGGGGGGTCGTACTTGGTTGAGTTTGTAGGGGGGTCGTACCCGTTTCAGTCGCTTGAAATCACATGTGAGTTTGAAATGTTTCAGTTTCACATGTTTGTTGGTTGACCCTGCTTACAACTGCGGAAAAATAGCAGTTAACAATCAAAAACAACTAAAATCACTATCAAGGTCTGTCGTGTTCGTGGCCTCGATAGAAGGCGTGCCTCACATGGAGCACGGTACTTAAACAGAAGTAAACTGATAACAAGCAGTTGTCGACAGTCGTATGGCGCCACTCACTCCCCTTCCCTTTCCCCACTCTTGTATTCTTCATGGAGAATAAATATGCATTGTCATTTTTGTTATGTTTTGCTTCGGATAGAAGCCTGTACGACCTCTTACCTGACTGATAGGTTCTGTCGCCACGAGGAATCCAATGGTGATCGTCGTATCTTCAAAAAACACAGAGCAAGCCTAGAATACCAAAAATATAATGTGTACCTATATTAATGAAACGCAGTGAATATCTAGTGAAAGGCAGGCGGGTCCCATAGGTGTGGGACGGTGCGCGTTTCGCAGCTAGGGTTATATTACAGCGGCCCAGCAGACGTACTCGTGCCGCTCGCGCCGCTGTTCGTCTCACGTTGGCTGATCCCTCGCCGTCTGGCTCTAGTCACTCTGCAAATAGCGTTAGCGTTGATGAGGTCAGCAACAATGTGATTGGCCCAATGCGCAAATCAACGGGCAATGAGGGGTTCCATTTTCGGTTTGTAGGCCAATTTCCCGGTCACTAACCACTTCCGCTTCAATTTCGAATGAGCTGTCTTTCAATCGTCAACTCCACCTTCAATGTTTATGGATGGCGTATCAGACGTGGCTCCTCTTTTCCAGATCGAATTCAAAATCCAAAAGATGACATCACCTCCGAAGAGCAAGAAGGCACTCGAAAATGTTCTAGAATCGAAGTCTTCTACAGAAACATCTGGAGCTGCGATTTCAGTAGAAGCTCCAAATTCCGCAAGTGGAATTGAGTCAATGGTAAGTTGTTGCAGAATTGCTGTCTGATCCTTGCACATATCTTCGGTGTTTTCTACAGACTCTCGAAGAAGTCATGGATACGGAACAACAACTAATCGTTGGTGGTATTCCGTACACTGTTATTCGTGAGCCAATTGATATAGCGTCGCTGTCATGTGCAATAAAACCGCTGGCAGGGTGCCCCATTTATCCAGCTGTTGACTTCAGACAAGGTCAGTCTCAGGTGGGCTTTGGTGCGATTTACACGCTTTATTCAGTGGGGACGTGCGATGAGTTAGAGCTCTTTGGAAGGGTTCGATTGCAAGCTCTATTTCTCAAAACGACAGCGGATAGATGGAGCTGTTGCGAAAACGAATCCCCAAAAAGTATAAATCGGGGTTTTTCTTCCTCTCTTTTGCATTTTTAACCAATTGACGACCGCTGTTGCGGAGGTACTGCGACAGCTTTTCACTCATTTATTCATCTATAGTCGTTGAATTTTCGAGAATTTCATCACTGGTCATAGTACGTTGTATTTCGGACCCGATACCTTGTACAGACCGCTTTGAAACACGAAAAAAACACATATTGAGCATAACGTATCCCTCGCGCGAAAGAGGTGTGGCCAGACCGGCGGGCGACCACGGTCAGGCTTCAGGCAGGTTTAAAGGGTTTCGACAATCAGCTTACAGCTAGAGAATATGGTTGTAGAGTTGAAGAAATTTATGCGGAATGTGGAGTGGGATTCCCTGCGAAGTGATAGAGATAAGTAAGCATTCAAGCAATCGTTTTCTTGGAATTTGCGTTCCAGGATCTCCTGCGGTGAAGCCGACTATGCATTGGTATGTCTACACACCTCAGCCTAGCGGTGACAGCAAACCTACGGAAGTTGCTAATCGCGAAACAATATCATTGATCGAAGGTTTCTTAATCTCAATTGATTTATAATCTTAATTTTGTATCTACACACAGAATTTTTGAGATGATAAAACCTTCACCTTGCTCTCTATGTTTTTATCCCTTAAAGGATCGTCGCGCAGATTCTCCGTAACAAACTGTGAATATCGGTGGACGGGTGAGTGCTATGTGCCATCGGCTGTCGATTCGGGAAAGCTGTTACTTCTGGTTGCTGATCTGGGTCCGGAAGCCATTGTCAAGTTAGTAGAATGCATTATTATGCTATCTGCTTCTTTGTGTCAGTTACTTCAACTTTCATTTTTTTTTAAAGCTATGAAAGTTAACAACCACAGAACTTTTACTTAGTGGGGGTCTCATACCCATCGATCAGTAGTCGATGAGCACGTTAATGTTTGAGGGCAACCAATCATAATGGCTGCTAAGTAACAGAGACCTTCAGTATTGGTTGATTGTGCTCATTAGAATTTCTCATAATGACCTTGTATTTCTTATTATTTATTCTTTCCAGATTCGCGTGGGGGTGTCTAACATTCTAGCTGATCTATATTTGGATTTGTCTGGACCGGAGGAGTCACTGTTTTTCCCCTATTGTCCGAAAACCTATCAGATGTACGAGTACAGATATCCACTGCTACTCAAGGAGTTGTCAAGTTAGTTTACTCGGTTTTGATCGCACATTTTCCCAAAAATGGTATGGGCTTAATTAGGGTTTACAAAGTGATTCAAATTTTCTCGTAATTTTTTGGGTTAACGGGTACTGGAACTTTTTTATATCCTGCACGATGGCGGAGAGCCCAGATGATCGAGAAGCCGGGGGGCGACTCCAGATGGTCAAGGAAAGGGGTGATAGCCTCGAGAGTAAGCTTCGGAGGGTAGGGGGGGGAAGCAGGTGAATAACGGTCGAGGATTTTTCGACCATAGCTCTCTACCATGCGAGAGTAGTGCCGAGAGTGAACATCCGCGCGGAGAGCACAGACGGCACGGCCCATGGCGAGTGTGAATGTCCGCGCGAGAGATCGTGTCTGACCGGGCAGAGAATCCTCGACGTGCCGTTGAGGATCCTCAATGTTCACCCTGGGAGGGGGGGGAGAGGGAGCCAGAGGTGGCTAGCGTGTAGCGAAATACGAGTGACAAAAAGTTTTGAATGTGTGAGATCACAGTGTCTCAGCGCTGATCAGGCGGAGCACAGACAGCATCGGATTGAGTCATCTCAATAGACCAAGTTAAGTAGCTTAAGTAGTTACCGTTTTTTGTGCAGAAGAACAACACAAAAATGAAGTGGCTCTCATTAATGAGGTTTTTTAGGCTACGATCACTGCCGCACTCTCTCGCTGCCTTTCTGCTAAGAAAGTGGCCATGCAACGAAAATTGGGCAAATGCGTTATCTCAGCGCCCTTTTCGAATCGATGGATTTGGAGATGTGCTTTGTCAAAAAGCAAAAAGAAGTGAATGAAGGCTCGGTAATAGCTTTCCGTCGTGAAAGATTCGAGTGAGTGGACTAGTTTCGTTCGAAATGTTAATTTTTCACGAAATTACCTACTGCTAAGACAGGTGTGATTCAGTTGTTTTACGCTTTCCCATATTTCAGGTTATTATCCTCTGAATGCTACTGGTTGGCCTCTCTTTTACAAAATGATTACTGTGATGATGTAAAAAGTGTTCTCAGTACAAGCAATGCTTCGCTAGAGATCTTCACCACTCGACCGACTACTATTCAAGTAGGTTGTCTTATGTGTTGTCTAGGAAGTCGTCAATCTGCTCAAGTCTGCTTTGAAGTTGCGTGCCTGCAGGTAACCTTAAATTGAGCTAAACCTTAAATTACTGATCTCTGTAGGTGGTTTTCGTTTTGCTTGCTGAAAGCGGAGCGGGCAGGATGGCGCTTTGTCCTCCAATATAGGAAGGATAAGGTTTCCCTAGCTGTAAGGCGAATAGTGTTGTTGGTTGAGAATAAGTGCAATTTTCTTTGAATACCCCACGAACGGTCCCTGTTCATAGAAATGTTTTACACATACGAATCCAAGAGGATAGCAATGACAGGAATGTACGATTGTTCACTTTAGGGATCCTCAGTACATGTCATTTCAGCCAGCGCTTTTTATTGAACAACCTATCTCCTAGGGGTCCTGTCTCCACGGGAAGCATTTTGGAATTCATTTTTACATTCTGTAAACAAAATGTGACGTAAGTGGAAATCAAATTCAAACGCTTTACTCCCAAAAAGTTTTTGGATTTTGTTTTACTCATCTTTTATCTGGTTTTGAAAGGTTCATTTTTTGGTTATACATTTACGAACGGTTTTTTCTTTATGCGTGACTGTGTTACGTGACCGGATTTCCAACGATCTCTTGATTTGTGGCAATACGCATCTCCATCACAATCCTAGTCATGAGCATTTGAAGGCTCTCCAAGCGATTGTGGCTGTACGCCAGCTCAGCAGGTGAGCAATTCTGAGATCGAGTTCGACCTTTGTGACGCATTTTGACATTGAAATGGCTGAAGATAAGGTTGTTTTTGAGAGCACTTGATCTTGGTTATTCATCCGGTCTTGTTGTGAGTACGATTATCCTGTTGTGTTGACCTGAGCTAGAAGAGGCTATGGGTCGGTGAAGGTGGGGTTGAGGCCATGTGAGAGGGCAGGAGGGACAGTAGTGAATTATGAATTTATAACAAGCCAGCAGAATGAATGAAGTTACTGGCCGAAATAGGTACTGAAGTAAGGAACAGTGGTTTTTCTCGGATGGCATGGTTTCAATGTGTTCTTTTTTTCATATGAATCATATTAAATCATATGAATCTTGAGCCATCTTTGTGTTTGCTTTTTCTTATCCTCCTGAGCACCAGGTTTCTTTTCTCACAGGACTTGCCAAGATTATGCAGCTCAGTTTCCGAATGATGCAATTCGATTACTGTTCGCAGGTGATTTCAATAGTACCCCGGATGGCCCGGTGTACGAACTTCTTAGCACAGTCAGTTTTAAGTGTTTTATTTTTACAATTGTATCTTATGTTTATTCACTATTTATTCATTTATTTAATTTCTTTTGAGTTTTTGATAGTGTTCTATTTTATGTGTGAATTTGAAGTAAATACGTTTCCAAAGCATTCGCTTTTCAAGGGAGCTTTATCAAAAAGTTCGAGCTGCTGGAAGTTGGATGAAGATATAATGGCTGATGATCTGGTGGTGCGCAGTGATTCTTTGAAGATTTTTTTCCTTATGGCGTTCTCTTCAGTTTCTGAATAGTATTAGCGGATCGATGGATTTACTTGGACCAATATTAAAATTGCAGCTCCTTCCATCCGGTAATGGCTTGGTGAATCAGACTGGAACAGGGCTGACAAATTATACACGGTTCAAGAGCGATGATGGAGAGGAGCGAGGATTTGCTGGATGTCTGGACTACATTTGGACCGATAGAACGGTGAAGTTGCACCGAATGGCGCCAAGGCCTTCTCTTGAACTGCTCACCAAGTACGGAGCAATTCCGTCAAAGATTGCACCAAGTGATCATGTGCCACTTATATGTGAATTAGATTTTGAAAAATGAATCATTAGTTCTTATTGTTTTGCGATTTGATTAGTCGTGCACGCTATGATATTTCACGTTTGCCTCATTTTCTATGCCTTTTTGCTTACATAGGAACTTCTGCCGCTTTGATGTGTATAGGTAAGTGAGCGTGGACTTCCAAGACGGGTTGCTCATAACTTTTTTTGCTGGTTTTCAGTGCGCCGGGTAACACAGAGGTCAGTGGCAGCCAATCTCCGACAATTTTCCTTACTGTTGCTCTTGTATGAGGATATCCCAGCAAAATTACGTAACGTAAT